TGACCACCCCCAGCATCTGGGAGCGCATCACACCTCAGGTCAGCTTCTTGATGCCACAGAATTTTCACCTTGGGGAAGGTGTCTTTATTGATTTTTTTTTGAGGTGTTAAGCCTAAATCTACCTCCTTGTAACTTCAGTCCACCTGACCTAATTCTGTCTTCTGGAGCCCCCAGCCATCTCTCCAGCCCCCCATCCACACCTGGAAACACTTCTACTTTCTCTGCTGCTATTGACCCTTAAGACGTCTGCAGCAGGTTGGCCTGTCTCCACTCAGGTCCAAACTGGATTCCTCAAACTCGACACTGGATTCGGGTAACCTCTGCCTGGTGGTGTGGGGCAGTGGACACGCCCCAGGAGCAGGACTGCACTCAGGGCCTCCCGCTGTGCACACCAGGCTGCACTCCACACACCCATGCTCTGACCCCCGCCATTGCACACACGGCTGCTAAGCAAGGCCTCAGTTTGGTTCCTGTGTGATGGAATTTTTTGAACCTTGGAGGCCCTCTCGGCCTGCGCGCATCGCCTCCCATGGTTCCGGCGGGTTGTTCTGGCTGTAGAGGAGATGCAGAGTATTGATTCTGTCATTCAGCACATCAGCTCACCCTCATGACTCTGTATCATCTGCAAATTTGATAAGCATGCCTCTGATGTCTTTATCAAGCCATGGTTCTGCGGCTTGCTGAGCTACAGGGCAGCAGCTCACCAGGGGCCTCCTCCTGGGTCGACCCAGAGCCATTCGCTTATCACACTGGGGGCTTCTGCTGCTCCAGCGGTTGTGAGCCCACCTGCCTCCTGGGGCTTTTCCCAATCTCTGTCCCGGCAGCAGCAGCGGAACCTTTTCTTCCCAGCAGAAACAGGTGATGCCCCGCATGTGCGAGACGGTGGAGGGGCTGCTCTGATAGAGGCCGGGAAGGTGTTTCCTCTCTTGGCTCGCCTGCCCCAGACAGCTGCACAGAGCCGAAATCAGAAACCCCACCATCCGATCGCACGCCTGAGGCTGACTCACAAAGCTAGGCCCAGCCCCAAAGAGGGCCACAGAGATGGCACCGTGCCTCCGTCCCGAGGCCAGCCCTCTCCTGTTGATCGACATGCGTGACATGGGCAAGCAGGGGATGGAGTGCCTGCGGCCAGGGAAATGAAGAGGCTCCGGGTCCCAGAAGAAGCGGTTGCCCTTCTTCACTAGGAAACAGTCAAGAGATGTGTGTGGCGATGTCTGTGTGTGAGATGAAGCGTCACTGTGAGGGAGAGGAGCTCTGCCAAGCTACCTTCTGCTGCCTTAGCCACCAACTCACTGGTACAGCCCAGGAGCATCTCTCTCCCTGGGGACCTGCCTGCTCCGAAAGGACAACTCCAAAGCTGGTGACACCACAGCATTTTCTGCAATAACAGAGCTTCTGCGGGAAGCTCTTGCTTCTAGAGGCAGTTCCTGCTTATGGACAGTGCTGCTAGAACCACCAGGTCCTCAGGTGATGGCCTACAGACCATGCAAAGATCCACCTTTTGTCTGAAATAAAGCCGGGAATGAATGGCATTCCAAAAAATGGCAGGGAATTCTTTGAAATCTGAGTGATGACACAAGAAATGGAGGCACATGGTTTTGGCTTTGGAGAAGAACACAGACTCAAGAAAGCAGCAAGATCTGTGACCCACCCCTTCCTAGGTCCTCCCGGCCAGCCTGGGCCAGCGCTCTGCGGGGAAAGGGCCTGCCACCAGCTCCGGCTCAGAACCGCATTCCCCGCCACCGCCACGGCTGGGCAGTAGAGGGCGCTGCGTCACCGCGCTCCCAGCGGCTCGATCCACGCCACACAAAGACCGCACTGGACGTGGTTCTCAGGTTTATGGTTGAGGCTGCTTGAGAAAACAGTAGCAAGACGCAGACTTGCTATTACACGATATGATATCACCTACGTAAAAAGTACACAAGAAAAAGACGAGGGAAATATAACAAAAGGTTATATGGAATTCCTGTTTTTTCATGCTTTCTACTACGTTCTGCCCAATTTTCTACAAGCCTGGATTACTCTCACCGTCGGAAAAGACCCACGCAGTGCTCAGGGAACAGGATCGTCCGGAGGGGTTGCAAGGGACACATTGATTGTGAAATGAATGCTTGCCTGGATCAGGTGGGCGCTAGGGAGGCTCCTCGGAGGTTCACCACGTGCCCACACCACCCAGGGATCTGGATGTCCGGAAGCGCTCACAGAAGAGACCCAGCACAGGCCAGTCCGCCAGGAGCCTCAGGGAGGGTTCCTGGGGAGAGGATCCTCTGCGCTGGGAGGCCTGCCAACCAAACACACCTCATGTGCGAGGAGCACCGGAAGCCAAAGGTGCAGAAGCAGGGGCAGGAAGGGAGGAGGGGAGGCTCTCAGCGAGCTTATGTCTGGGGCTCGAGCAAACAAACAAGTGGCCACAGGGTGGTAGGGCCCTTAGGCCTGCCACAGAAACACTTTTCCTTCTAGTACTTCATGGGGGTCTGTGATGGGTCGTTGTCATGGATATCTTGGAATGCCTTTGGAGGCATGTTTCGCCCCACTTGCTCTTAGGATTTAGCATTAGGTGCCTTGTTGACTTATGCGCGTTAAGGCTTGATTCCTCCTAGCAAACGCGCGCTTTCTTTCCTCCATTATGCCCACGCTACAAGGTTTCCAAACGTGACACCTTATTTCCCTTTCTAATATAAGTTCAGCATTTGATCGTTTAATTTGGCTCACACATTTTAGCATAAAGGTTGGGTTAGAGGAAAGCGAGGTAACTTTTGATTACTTTGCTGCTTACAATTTTCTTCTGGGCCGATACCTCTAGATCATTCACTCTAAAGGTTCAATTTCCCA